CACTAAACAGTTAGRGTTTTATTTTCTGAAATTTTGTTTTACTCTTAATGTGGTGGTATTTTTTCATCTTTTTAAGAGAATATACTGATTAAATTAATCCTGTTATTGAATTGCCAATTTTTTATCTGGAAAGATCATTTCACATATGGGAAGAAAGGGAATAAATCCATCTGCTTATTGATTGATTTGGGGTGGGGTTTTGTAAGCAGCAATTTTAGAGGGCAGAGAAGATCAGTAGGACCTTAGGGAGATCTGCACCTTCACTGCTGTCAAATTGTCTTCTCTTGTACCCTGACAGAACTGAATTTTTAAGAAGTCAGTGTACTTGTTCACTTACATATATATTTTTTTAAAATGTCAATACCTCCTACCAAAAATTGTAGGTTAATAAACTGCAATGAAATGCATCTGACTTTTTTTTTTTTCCAGAAAAGATCTTCTACAGAACATATTTACGAAGTCCTATTGCTGTTAATTTCAGCTGAAATTCATCATTAAAGATGAAATTGAATTTAGGCACTTAGGCTCCGTCTGCCATCAGTACAGAAGGATAAGCAGTCTGGAAGTCAGCTATGATCTTCAGTAGGATTTGGTAATCTTTGAAAGTGCAGTATGAATCCTTTTCTCAGAATGAGAAAGAACAGCTATCTCAGATTAGCCTGAACCTCATAAATGCTCCTGTCAAAAATTCATTTCTGATAAATTGGCACTTCTTGATTAGGCCTCACTCTCTCCTTTTTTTCATCAGTAAATTCTTAGCCATTTATAAAAATGCTACAACATGTCTGACAATATGTTTTATTTTAAAGGACGCCACAGTACTCATTTTGATGAAATACTCTATCTGTTAGCTAAGAAACAATTTGTTCTGTGCAGTTTTAATTAACTTCTCAGGAAAGTAACTGGTTCTCGAAGAGCTACATTTAAAAAACATGTAAACCTAAGCTTTCTAAGTTTAACAAATTAGAAAACTTTATTTTTTGGACTGATCTGCAATTATCTTTGACTGATATCATGGCGATGCCAACATTTTTGTATCWGTCTTTTGCAGATTGTTAGCATACTTGGAAAACTAATGATTTGGTGAGAAAAAGACAAGGAAGTGTATGCAGAGTAACTAGTTGTGTAGGATTGTTTTGGACTGTGAAACCAAGATGCATTTCAAGGATAATATTGTTTTCAACAGTGACCAGGCTATGCTACACATAGCATACACACACAGAAAAAAAACATGGGATAAAAACTTATCTTGAGGAGGCCAGTGAGAGCTTGGCTACAACATCTAATACTGAAAAAAAAAAAATCTACCTATCGTTCTTGCTCCCTCTTTCTATTCTCATAGAAAAAAAATGTCATCCTTACCCAAAATCAAAATGTTGAACAGTGTTTTTATATATTGAGTATGAATCTGAGTATGAATTCTCTGAAGTTATTCTACATTATCACAATGCAGATGAAGTCAGCAGTATCAGAATCTAAAATTGTGGGGTACTGGTACATAGGGCTCATTAAATATATAAGATTAACCTAATGATGGATGGAAAGCTACTTTTTGTGTGCTGCATCTGACAGGCAACTCTATCAGTTTCTCAGAAAGTAAGGTCAAATGACTGATGCTGCCTGTGCATATATTACAAAGGGATAGTTCTTGATTTAAAAAAATCTTATTTTCCTGCTAAAACAGGACAGAAATCTATCAGCTAATGAAAATAATATTCTTAATATACTTTAATATAATAGACATTTAAGAAATAAAGTCCTTTTAATCACTGCATGTGAATCGGAAAAACCATACAAGAGAAATTAAAATTCTGGTTTTCAGGTGCACAAGAATCTGTGTTAATGAAAAGAGGTATTATTAAGTAACCTTTTAGTTAATACATTATCTTACTTTTTTTAAATTATGCATTGGGAAACTTTCCCACAAGAACTTTAAAATGATTGAAAATATATTCAATAACTTTCAGAGAAAGAATAAGTACTGAAATTGAAAAGGGATTCAGTATGACTCAAAAAGCCTTTATATAAATATTCATCATTTCCAAATGAATTGGCTTTCAACAACATCTCACAGGTAGTTGATATTTATTTCACTTTCTAAAGCCAAAATTCTGATGAGTGATTTGCATTAATAGTCTATCCATATCCAGAGTCCAACTGACTTTAGATTACAGGTGGGAGTGGTGACACCTAATGACATGTTAGGCATGTGCTTAATTTTACCGAGGACATTGGGTCTGCTCTCTTGACTCCCCAGTACTAATAGTGAGACACAGGCTAGGGTGATCGTTAACTTCAATTCAAGAAAACAAAGGACACTTCCTGGAAATAACATCCTTTGGATTGGGGCAAAACCAAAAATTATCAGAATTTGATTCAAGAGATGTTAAGTGAAAGAGCCTGATCATGAACCTGCCACAGACCTGTGCAAGACACATAGACCCACTGATCCTACCATTCTTGAAACACCATTTTAAAGTAGCATTTTTATAATGTGTAAATACAGTCAGAATCCTAATACATAGGACATATTACAGAGTCCTATAAGTTGATACTTTTGTTGACTTAGCACGGATACTAAATACCTAATATTTGAAAAAAAAATGTAAAATTGACCTATCTGTTGTAATTGTATCTAACAGTATCTCATATAGTGGGAAGCATTAATCCATAGCAGTGAAGATATATTCACTTTTTAGAGGCTAGGCTCAGATTTGATTCTGGCAGTTGGGAAACCATCACTCATTTAAAAATCCCAACTTGAACCAAAAAGAGCTGCATGTGCAAGAGCTGAGATGGACAGTAACTCAATGGATCTGCTTGTAGTCATATCTCTTTGAGTATTATTATTCTTATTTTGCAGACAGAGAAACTAATATGAGTATAGATAGGATCYTTCCTGAGATTCACGGAATTTGAGTTCATTCTCAAATGCACTCTGTATCTACCACAGATTTTCAATGCGTTTCTTCAGCAAGTCCCTTAAACTCATTCAGGTTAATGCAGAAGGTAACTGTTTACCCACACTGACACTTAGGAAACTTGTTGTTTTAATGAGTCAGGTTAGGACATTGATCAAAGATCTTCCTTTAAAAATTTTTTTCAGGCTTTTAAAAGCCTGAAAAAACACTACAATCTGGGTGCATCTCATGATTGAAAAGGTGCTAACCTGATGAATAATTTGATGTAGGGCAAGGGAGAAGTGGCAAAAAAATGCTTATATGGGGAAGGATATCCTAAAAAGCATGTGCAACTATGACTCATTTTTCTCAAGAATAGGTTTTTTCTATTATTATTATTTTTATTTATTCCTGACTTGAGGCTGTCTAGCCTATGAATAGGAATTTCAAGCTTTACCCATTCAGGATGGCACATGAGGACACACTTACCTTTAAAATATGTGGCTCAATACTATTACAGGCAAATCCTGAGGCTTACACTTAGCAAACCTTAAGTGTGTGCTTTAAATTTAGTTGCAGATATGAGTACTGTCCTGAGTAAGAATCTTTTTCTTAACTATCAACTATAAACAGAGAAAAAAAAATGTGGTTTTTTTTCACCTCTACAGGACTATAATCTTTGTAATACACCTAAAAAAAAGGCAACTGACAAGTTCAGTTCAGGCTCTAGAGACAAATGCAGTGCAAAGCTAGTAACTTCTAGGGCCAGCAACAATAACTTAAAAAGGTCATAGCCTAATGGAAACTGTTGTATGGCTTAAAACAAACAAAAAACCCCTATCTCTCCTCCTAATTTATGGCTAGAATGCACTGCAAATTCTCTCTGTCAGAAAAAAATATATATACAAAAGAGATGAAGGGAATATGCAGAGTTAGAATKGAGAAGTACTGATCAAAGAGTCAGATTTTACCTGGAAGCTGATGTCGGGCTGGGAGATCTAAATGCTGGAAGGTTTGCCCCAGGCCATTGACTGACTGCAATCATTAATTCCCTCAGGAAATGTCCTTTTCCAGAGGATGTCATTCCTAGGACCTATTTGGGTTTACTTTTTAAATCTAAGATAAAAATTTTATAAGAATGTCTTTGCCTTGGTGATGGCAATGACACAAGGTCACCCGCTCAARACATGAAGTTTCTGGGGAAAAGTGATATCTGATAACCTGTCGGTTTTACTTATTTATTTAAAAATTAACMAAACTGCTCATTCCAGATAGACTAAAAGAAAGGAAAACTTGTCTCTAACTTATGTGTAGACACTACCAGAATAAAACACAAGAGGATGTGTTCTTGATTTTACKTTAAATAAAAAAGGTCCAGAAGTCAGACCACTATATCCAGAATCCTGCCTTCATTTACCAAGAGTAAAAACAGTGCATATTAAAAGGATTACATTTTGCAATACAGAGCGCTCAGTTCAGAACTAGTTCAACTATATCACATAGGGTCAAAGTTTCCTTAATGACCCCCCCCAAAATTATCAGTTGTGTGCTTGGGTTTACTCTGCTTTTCTCTTCCACAGCTTCCACACTGAGAAATACGAAGATGTGAGCCCTTGGACAGATCCTGAAATATGACTGGTAATAATATCATAACTTACTCCTGACAAAAATGTCATGCTAGGAAACAGAACTGAATTATATTTTTGTTTTGTGATTCATGCTCTTATTATTTGAGGTGGAAAAATCAGTTTTATGCAAAACAACATTTTTTTGCACACTTTTCAGATTTWTTTATTTGAAACAACACATAAAACCACTACATTCAATCTTAATACCTTACTTGGAAATCAATGGCCAAAAGACTTCATTTTGAAAATMCAAATTATTTACCCAGTTCTCTTTGCAGCTAAGGTTTAGTAGCTGACTCAGTATTCTGCTAAGGCAGCAAGTTCCATGTAGTAACAAATCACAAAGCAAACAAGTGAACAATATTTTGAGCATTTTGAATAATTTGAGTTTCAAAACACTTAATGCATTAAGACAGCTAAAACTGTTAGCTCCTATTAAGAAGGGGAAAAGACGGAGGAAAAACACAACAGCAAGTATCTTCCATTTTCTTCTTAGATTTTTCTCATCTGTTTTCAGTTATTACAATATGTTGATCTTGTTTCCGTCAAGTAGAAGTGACCACCCAACAAAAATGGATAGACAAGTGTAGGACTTATGGAAAACACTGCAAAAGTGTCTGAGAGAAAATATAAATCAAAGGGATAAAGAAGCTGTTAGGACTTCATTTTAGTACTGTTAGCAATTATTGTTAATAAGTATTATTAGCAAAAGCATTTTTATCCAAAAAAAGTTACAATTTACGTTGTTATTTATAAAGATACATAAAACACTGAAAAGGGCTTCTATGGATTAATCAGTTTGCAATGCATGACGAAGTATTCTATGAAGGTTAATTATTATATTTACTGTAGCAACATAGCCTCTACTAAAGCTCACTCTTTCAAATATTTCTTATTTTAAACAAAAAAACAAGGGCAGGAGGTATTTACTGGTTAACATCAAGAGACAGAAAACCATCCCACTCATTGGCTATTAGATATAATTAACTTTGGAGATTGTTCTGTTTAAATAGCTTTGTCCTAGGATTTTATGGGTTTTATGTTTCTTTGGCCCCACTAAACCTGGCTCATATAGTGAAGGCAATTAAAATATAATACTCTTCCAACTGAGACCTAACAACAGGAATTTACACAGTGGCAATTTGTGATGGTGTCACTTTTAACTGAGTCATTTTGCTTTAATTTCAAGTCACTAGGATACAGGTGAAGCATGTTTTTTCAACAGTCTGGGAGAAAGAAAGCCTCTCTCTTTTCCCAGAACAGACATAACATGCTTATATGTACTGTAAACATTCTCCACATCATATTGTTTCCCAATGGGATCACTTCTGAGCAGAGATGTTTTACCTCTTAGTCATGTTCAGTTTCTATGCGAAAATTCCCTGTAAAACGGGTTGCCAGGTATATGCTGCATTTTGATTTTACAGGTGGGGTCCCTTCTTTTGGCTATGCATAAAGAACAACCAATTCCTAGTTCTTTTCATTTTACTCTTCCTCAGTTTACCACTCCCTCTTCTTTCAAATCCCTCTCAACCAGAATAATGTTAAGAAAAATATTGTTTTGGTTAGATGCCTTGCTTAGATGGTAGATGTCTTGTTGGGATGACCTCTATTTACATGTCTTGTATACTATTTTACATGCTAGAAGTACTTACCCATGGGTAACTATTTCACAGTGATTAACTACTGGGTGATCACGAATATGGAAGATTGAGTTCATTATGTGTCCTGTTGTAGAGCCTGATGTATTAAGTCTCCTTGATCTTCATTTCTGGAGGTCATTGAGACACGTTCTGACCTGTACTAGAAGATTTCTCCTGCTCTCTGTCAGAACTACTTTTTTTCTCTTCCTGTGTAAGTCATGAAGATCAATACCTGCATTTGCAGACAGATSATTAGCAAAATCATCAACACTAAGATAATGATCCAAATTTTCTTTTGTCAGAGATCAGTGATCCAGAAGACATACAAAGTATGCCTCCTCAGCATCAAAATGCAGGCATTTCACCACAAAGATCTAAGAATATTGAAATATTTCAATTTTGATGTGTCTTTCTTGCGTCGGTAACTGTTTAGAARCTGAGGTAACTGCCTAGACATTAATACCTGCAGTAGTGAAAATACCCCATGCAGTAATTATGGAAGAGGTGTTGGCTTGGAAGACATTCTTTAAATACTCAAGACTTTTAGATTAAACTTYCTAGGGAGGAGTTTGCAACTCCTGCTCTTCTTGACCTCCATTTTACATTTAAATATGTTCCTAATAATGTTTGTAAATTGAACAGTTACCAATCTATACTCATGCTAGATTATATCTGAATCTCCTACCACAGTTTCCTAGTGACAGCATATAAAAATATTTGTACTGCCAAAGCTGAGATTATATTCACATGTCCCCAGGTGAAAGCTGAGGGGGGAAAATTGAAACTTCCATGTAGATACAGCTCTGCTGCAGTCATCCTACACAACAGGCACCTAGAAAAATGTAATTWAAAAAAAAATGAGCCACCTCTGCGAATTTCCTCACCTCTAGAGCTAGGTACAAYTGACCAGATTTTAAACATTATTTCTTAAATATGATGTAAGGTTAATTTGAAGTATATGAATCCTCTTGCATATCTGTCTCTCTGTGTCCWTGAAGGTTACCCAGGAATTCTCCTGCAGAGCCAGAAAACAAACCTCAAGCTCCTAAAAACAGCTATGTAAATACTGGATATTTTAGTTGGAAAACTGAACACATTTTTTGGTTTATCCTGATAGTAAAATAAGTTGTTTAAGACTTTCATGGATACAGAAGGGTGTGCAGCATATGTGTAAAGAGAGAGCTTTTTTTTTTTTTTTTTTGACCCAAACCTTTCTTTCAACTGAAAACAAATTTTTCAAACAAAGAAAGAAAAGGTTATTTACCATGTTTTATGGCTTTAGCTAATTTTTAAAGTCAAAACAAAAATAACATTTTAAAATGCCAAAACATTTTGTTTGAAAAATGTCAGAATGAAATATTATGACCTTTCAAAATATCTTTTCTTTTTTGAAATTCATGAAACTATTTTACAGAAGGAAGCTATAGCCACAAACACCTTAATTTCCTGAAAGCTATTTCTCATTAATTGGCATTCTCAAAGAAACTTCACTGTTCTGTAGCTGTGGCCAAAGATAGTTTCCTACACATTGAACTATCCTTCCTCTCTAATAAGTTGCTGATATTAAAGTTATCCAAAAAAAGAGAGATTCAGCTGTATTGCAATTGCTAATATTGGCCTTAAAGGCCTTTTAACTTTTAAATTAAAGAGGAGCTTTTTAAAATGAAGAAGAAAATCATTCTTTAATGCATTTGAAATTTTCTCGAAGAAGCCTTATATTAATTAAGACGAAGAAGTTTTTTCTTTTTTTTTTTAATCAAACCTAATTATAGCATCTGAAAGTCTAGATTCTTTGAACTCTTATTTCATAGAGGAAGAGAAGCATCCTTAGTATTTTTTTCCTGTGAAAACAAGTTTTATCTAATCACATTCAGTTAACCACTTTTAATGGAGTTTGAGTTTTTCATATATTCTTAAGAGCTTTAGCAGATAAGTATATGGAGAGCAGGATGTTGGGGAAAAAACAATAAGAAAATGGCACCCTAATTTTGCAATATCCTGAAGTAAACTATGGGTGAAATGTCTAGTAATATTTATRAAACTTAAAAGTGTAAGATATAGTATTCAAATATGTATTCAAAGTTTTCCATGTTTCTAGAAAACCTCCTTGATCTGAACATCAAGCAGATAACCTCAAAGGAAATGGGTCTAGTTATATTTGAGACTTCCTGGTCTAGCTAAAAGGGGATTAGGTGTTTTCTTCCGTTGACACTTCCCTGGATTTATAATGGAAACTGTTACTGTGGCTCACAGCTCTCCATGCAAAGTGGTTTTCCATGTTGATCCAATGAAAGAGAAAAAAAATCGAAGAACGGAGGTTACTTGTGGGCTGTGGTTTGAGAAGGCCCATTGCCCTCGACTAGGGAACGAGGACAGCGCTCGCACTGGTAGCAGAAGGCAGCAGTTCCCACTAAGGCTCTTTAGGATCATGCCCCTCATCAGTTTTCTTGCTTTCCTCTCTGCAGCAAATTCCCTTGTTGGTGCAATTCTGTTCCTCCGCTAAATATCCCAGCTCTCAACTTGAGACCTAATCTGGTGATGCCTCTGGGGGAGAGAGCAATTTACAGACCTCCTAAGGGATCGCCACATGTTTACATTTCTTATCTGTTAATGTGGAGGCTGAAGGCTGTAACCAAACCCTTGTTCCCACCAAAGATTTCCAGAGGAAGAATCTGATAAAATCCCAGAGTAGCTGAAGGAAATAGGCTAGCAAGTCTGAATCATGCTGCTGAAAAGGTGACCATTTGCCACAGAGCAAAGCTGATACTGATAATAATGTACAGGCCTTTGGAGAGCCTGTGTTGGAGATACTGAAAGTTTGCCTCAAAGGAAGGCAGTAGTCTGTGGTGCCACTCATCTGTAGAAAGAGGTTGATGATATTTAAAAGAACAACCCTGGGCAACTTTCAAGGGCCTTTCAGAATGACACAGCACTGAAAATCTCTAACCCCCCTTACTCCTGTTCTCACCCCAGGTAACTCTTACATTGCAGAAAAAGAGTACATGTATTGGAATAACAGCACAATTTATTTATGAAGTGATTGTTTGCTACACATSTCTAAGTTTTCTCCAAATATAAAAATACAGTGAGCTGAAGTTATTCCTTATTTATCTAGTTTTGAATTTTAATGAACAAGAATGTCATAAGTTCATGAATTTTTAAAAACCAAAAGACGAATTAGATTAATCCACTTCACAGCCTTTCTGGCAAAAGGTATTGTGGAAACTTTTAGGTAAGTAATGYTTAATTTAATTATTTAGCTGCATAGTGCATCCATTCCAGCTCAAAAGAGATAGAGATTAAAATACACAGAYTGGGAATTCTGAAAGCACTGTGCAATGTCTGCGTATATTCTTTAACAATCACACTGGAAAATGGCATAAACTACCATAATTTTGCTAAAGAGCCTGAAGTTATGCCAATTCACAGATGCTGTAACTGGTCGTGTAATACCTACTTAGTTCCTTTTTCTGAAGTGTTCTCATACTGCTGGTCTGCAAAGCCTGTGCATACCCGCTGCCCTTGACTCGTGTGCTAACAGAAAGAGCAAACAGGAGCATCTAGCATGAAGCTCCTCTAGAAAAGCTGCTTCAGTAAAATGCCAGTGGTCGAGCAGGAGAGGTCTGCGCTGCAGAAGGAGGCAGCAAAGCAGAGCTTCATCTGTACCTCCTGCCACTCTACCTGCCTCAGTCCAGTCTGCAGCTTCCATAGACATGSAATTCATTAAATCCTAATTAAAACGAGACCTGTTAGCCCTTTCTCACCATGCTGACCTCAGTCATCAAGGTTGTCACATTGCTTTCTACCTCCCTTGAATCATTATCTTACCCCACAGAAAAGTGAGAGATCCTGAAGGTTTTGCTGTTGAAAACCTCCTCTCTCAGAACACTTTTAATCATTTTCTCATGTTCTGGTATTTTTAGATGCCAAGTCAGAAGTTTCACTGCATAAGAAAAGAAAGCAATTTACAGCTTCATGTAGAAACATAGCCACTTCCAGTTCATTTGTTTTTCATCTTGATTATCAACACGTTTGTCATCTCTCCGTAATTTATTCATTATCTTTACCCGAGGAATGTGAAGGGGAGGGGTGGGAGCGAAGAAGGAGAGAAGAGCACTTGTCAAAATGTGAAACAGATGCTCTGACAATGATTGGAGACAATTAATGTTCTCAATAAGCATCAGCAGGCAAGGTCCATGTATTGCTTCAAGTTGCTGCAGCAAACAGCCTTCTGGAAAATGTAAATGCACGAGCTTTATTTTCCAGGCACGTGAGAGCATGTCTTGCTTGTAATGAGCTGTCCTAAGGAACTTCGCATTGCTACTTAGCAAGGCGGCTGTTCCCATCATCACTGGCCTAAATAATGACAAGAGGAGAGGATGGAAACTCTACTGCAGTCCTAACAGCACTAAGGAACCTGTCACCACTCCCTCATTCTGGTTCAAGCTCAGCATGTAAAGTAAAGCACTTAGCACATGTTTAACCTTGAGCTACACAAAGTCAATAGCATAAATGCATGCACTTAAAAGTAAGTAGCTACTCTGAAATTGCTGGGCTCGGTATGGACCTAGCAAAGTTCTCTCCTGCTCTGGGAACTTGCAGGTGTCACTTGCAGAAGAAAATGGYCCCAGGGAGCCCAGGGGCCTAGCTTGGAAGGCCACTCATCTGCTCTTACCATCCAGCACCAGAAAGTACCAGCCCATTGAGTTAAAATCAAGCTTCAGTCTGTACCACTTTGAGGAGGGCTGCTGTGAAAGCCAAYCACAGTAAATAAATAGTATAAGAGAGAAAGAAATCAATAACAAATAGATGTGATCTAATTACTAACACTTGTAATAATAGTTTATTGTTCTGTGCCACATGTAGCTTTCATCTTCCTTGCTCTGTGCTTTGTCACTTTAATTTTCCTTTCTGCTGCTCTGTTATCTAAAATGATCAAACACCTACCATGCCCTGGAAAGTACACCAATTAAGAGCTGCATTTTAATCTGCCTGAATGTGCCTGTCATAAAGTTAATTGGAATAAACACATATTTGATAAGGCTTTGTTTGAATTCTGATGAAAGACAGACTATCACCCATCTCAAACTTTATTTTACTGGTTTATATTCTGTCTTCCCTCACTTTTCCCCCTTTTATTTCATTTTTGTTTGAGTAATGATAGCAAACACCAGCCTGAAAGGTTATTCTAATCCACAGGATTTTTTTACATCATTCCTCAGCCCATAGATA